CTTTTACATTGTGTAGCATTACACTGTTCTTGAACCCAGTACAATGTTAGTCCTAATGTTATCTTTTAAGGATATTATTTGTTCTTTCAGTTATTTCAAAGCAGCATCTTTATTTGACAATTTTATTATTTTGTCTTACAATTACAGTACATAATATGAAGGCATTAAGACTAATCAGTTGCCGGGATTGTATAGTAACACGATTTCATTTTTTTATTAATGGAAGCTTAATTCTATAAAGACTGCACTTCATGCATCAGTACTTAAGGTTCAGTAATGAACATACTGTAAAATGCAGGACCATGGAATTAAACACTGTGAAGCTGCCACAGAAAAAAAAACTGTTGCTCTGAAGGAGGTGAAAATTTTCAAAATTTAAAGGTAAACAAAATCTATTTACTAATCCGAGTTAGAAAAATTATATTAACGGTTATATTGCCTTTCAGACCCTTAAATTACCATGGCAACAACAATGTATGCCCATTTTTAAACATTCCCTTGTTTGTAAATCTCATTTATATAGTGCAAACTGTTTAGTATTCCTTCACCTGTCTGCACTAAAGATGTCTAAAGCACTGGATGTGTTCTATTTTAGTGGTTCAAGCACAACTGAGGTTTTTGTGTGGTTATCTATTGGCACCATTCATTAAATCCTTGTTCCTGTATTCAGAAACCTGTTTATAAGGAGCCAACAGCTTTAGCCCAGATTTCTTCTGGTTGTCTGGCTGAACTCTTTTCATTAAACTTACAATCATGTTCTTGGATTTACTAAGCCAAGACACCACACAAAGACAAATGACAGGACACAACAATCAGTTAACTCATAGTACGAGAGTCTTTCCACTCTTGCCAGTATGCCATTTAGATTTAGAGCTAACTGCTGTTCAAATGCCCCAATGGTAACATCACCCACTAACACCACCCACCCTTAACTTTGTTTCATGACTGGTTTTAGTTCCTGGCAATGTTAAATGCTGAAATGTATTCAAACACTTTCTGTCCCAGTGTGAGTGAGTGATCAGAAAGAATTAAAATAATGCAAACCATGCTCTTTGCTCCCACACATTTTACAACACTCTGCAGATGTAACCAGCTACCATCTGTTTCTTGGTTTAAGTTACACCACATCAGTGCTCTCTTACATCTGTGACAGCTGTAATGATCCAAGGGATCCTGCAAAACAGTTTGCTTCAATTAAACCTGTACTGTTTTGCAGTAACAATAAAAATGGCAATAGTGAGCCTGTCGCTCTTGCACCTTCAGATGGATATCTGAGTTCTACCACAGCATTGCAAGGTAACCATATCGTTGAATCAGTAATGTTTGTTTTCTGATTGCAGAGCATGGTGAATGGGAATTAAATCCAAATAATTAGACTGTTGTAAGCCTACGGTATGTCATTATTGATCTAATGTGCACAGTAAAGCATGTGAAAAGGTGACCTGCAGATGTTTTTTGTTACTTGCAGACTGTCTGTTGATTGGCTTCGATTTTAAAGGTGAGGTGGAGCTTTACAGTGTAATTTGTGGCTGATCTACAGTCAAGGATTATCTCTTGACTGTTAGAGGAAGTGAAATCCTATGTTTATGTCAAGGAATTTAGTGTTTCATTTAAATACTTTTTCCTAATAAATGTGATATCTTCTTCTGTGCTTTTAAAAAAACAAAACTGTTTCTTTTCGGATGCATGGTTGGTCCCACCTTCATGTTGGAAGCATTTTTCATCGCTTTTGTTTTGTTTGAAAAATGAACAATGCCGTGCCTTAACCACTGTGGGTGTGTTTTACAAATAGAATGTCAATTTGTGCTTTGAAGGCAGTCTCAAAAAGCTGTTCATTCTTTTTAAATCTGCATTGTTCAGCAAAAAAAAGTAGCTATGAAAAGAAGAAAATGAGACCTTAGAAACTGTTTAAACATGCGTCCGAGTCCAAATAATTCTTTTATAAAAAGATGCACATTTTCAGCCTTGGAAAAATGCATAACCATTTGAACAGTATTGTGTTTTCTGGGAAGTACCTCTTTAAAATCAAAAGCTCCCAAGAAATTTCTTTAGATTTCCTACAAAACAAAGTCTGTCTTTGTTATTCTTCCTGCATGGCTTGCTGTTATGTTTCAGGGAAGGAAGTGCATATACACAGCAATAATTGTGGAAAACAATAGCCAGACATCTCTCTTATCCCTCTGGAGTTTCTCTTATAACAAGACCTCTTATAGGTCTTTTACTTTTATTATATTTTTGAATATTTCTTTTCCCATGGGGAAAAATTATAGTAAATAGAATTTGTTAGAGAAAATTCAAATACTTTTTTGGGATTTTATCCAATGGCTCAACACAAGTGTCTTCAGTGAAGGCAGTGTTTCAGTGATCTTTTGTTTGGGAGAAAAAAATTACTTAATAGGAATCTGTATGTGAGCCTTTTTATTCATGTAATCTTCATTTTGAAATGTAAATTGCCCGCTTTTCTAGATAAAGTTAAGGTGTGAGTTGAATTTAAGGATTAGCATAAATATCAATACCTAAATGTCAATTTAGATTCAAATAGAGTCTTGCTTTGTTAAAAGGATCAGTCTTGACCCAGAGATAACATAATCACCCAGATAATAAATCACTAAAACACAAAACATAGGCAATACAAGTACAACCTTGAAGCTTTGTGCATCCCCATTTTATACAGTATACACAGTGTACTGCTCACTTGTAGAAGTCTTAAGAGTTGTAAGAATTTGCTAACACAATTTAATCATTTTAACAGTAAATTGCATGAGCTTTTTTATTCGCTATTGCTATTAGGACAGAGTAATGGGCAGTCTGTAAGTCAAGGTGCCTAGATACACCATGGCTAATAGTTTACTTGAGTGTTATAAAAAAAGGATTAAAAAGACATCTAAAATACAAGGATTAAGCATTAGTTGCATGCAACTACTCAACATTTGGATTCTTAACAATAAGTACTTACTTTTACTTATATGAATTAAATTATATCAGAACAAGGTATCATTGTGTGGTAGGATAACATGGAAGGATAACAAGGTAATTATGAAGACTGATAATGTTTAATACTGAATTATACTGATCCAACAGTGGATTCGTAACTCCCACCAGCTGGTGTTTTTTGCAGCAATGCAATTCCACCTCTGCTTGCCTGATTCCTGCCCAGTCCAGGTGCTGAGTTGGAGAAGAAGTAGGAAAGAGAGCATCCAACTGTAGCTTGGTGCTAACGGTCATTTCTCCGGGAACGACCTCCATGTTAGCGTTAACAATTTCTGCACGAAGTTCAGGTCCAGGTGAATCAGCTGATAATGAGAAACTCGGTTAGCTACCAGCATACAGTAGCTGCTACTTCTGAATATTAGTATAATCAGGCATGTTGACAAAAGTCCAATTGTACTGATGCAAGGCTGGCTAATTACTGGCAAGATTCTGCTGCAGGTGGGACCTCTGTTGGAATTCTTGTTTACGTAACGGGCTCTATTAACTTTGTGTCTCAGACAAAACTTTTAAGTTCTAAGGCTTAGACAACAATAGTGACAGTCAGCTGGCTAAGCTTCAGATAAGCAGAGAGAAGCCAAGAGAGCAGTTGTGCAGTGTCTTTTAACCTGGAAAAGTTGGCGACTAGCTGTGACTTCATCTTGTGGAGTGGGTTTCTATGCTCTGAATGTCCCTAATTGGTTGGTTATCTTTGAGATGATTGACCATGACTTTTAAATTTAAAATCATCATCCAGATGTACTTATCTCTGTCTGTAGACATCAAAACGCCCAAAGTTGGACATCCATCATAGGGAGCATTAGTCCTGGTTTGTGTCATCATCCTGGGTTGGGCTGCTTGTAAAGAAGACCCATCTCCCTTGCATTCTAGCATGCAGGGATCAATAGGCTATTCTGTAGCCAAGACTACAGAGAGAATAAAAAAACTACGAAATCACTAAAAATCTACAGCATAAATTCTGTACTTATTAATAAGCATTGCTGCTAGAAGTCCTTGTAGAAAAGTGGAAAATTTATTCATTGTGGTCCTAGTTACCATGTAACGAACTCTCAATGAAAATATTGGAAGGGTCTCTGTGACTTTGATTTATTAAATCAGCGGTTATCAATTTCAACTGCAAGAATGTAAAAAGGATACAATAAAGGTAATTTGTAGATCTCATCCAGCCATTTCATAAGGGAATCAGGGTTATCTGCATCTACAGCATAGTTGTTTATTTCACTGTTGATTCTGAGAAGTCTGTTTGGTTCACTATGTGAGAGCCCTTGAGGGGTGTGAATACTATATTTTAATCAAGTTCACTCATAGTCTTCTCCTTGCCTTGTCTTGACCTTTGACCTCTTATAAAGATCAAGTGAAATACTTATATTCATACTGTAGGTTTTTATTGAGTACATAATGAGTCATGTCTACATACATATGGAATACATATAGAAGTGCATGAAGACTTTGTCAAAAATGTCTGCCAAGTCTTTTAATTGAGCATATTAGTCTGTACATTAAAGACACTGACCAGATAATATATAACATAACTTATAACTAAGACAGTAAAATGAAAATTACTGCATTGTTTCCATATTGTCAAATTCCTGTGCATAAGTTAGGTTCTTCTCAACTGCTTGACAAAGCTGGAGTAAACTGGAAAATAAATGCTTCACTAGCCTACAAGGTTATCTGCAAAGTAGTCACTTTTGTTTTGGGTCACTAGTCAGTAACATTTTTACAAATATACAGCTTGGAAAGACATGATATGTGGAAGGGTGATTGCCATTATAAAGGAGAGGAACAAAATTTATATTGTGTATCTGAGTTTGGAGACTGAAAAGATAATACATAATTAAACTCATAACTAATACATTAAAATGAAAATTACTGCCATTTGTTCATATTGACCATCTCCTTGGTCTGACCTGAACATTTGTCTCCCTCAGGGGTTCATTAGCAGAGGACATTTGTCTTCAGGACTTGAACTCGGCCGTTCTATGACCTCCCTTATTCTTCCCTCCTTGTAGGTGAAAGCTATGTGTGTGCTTCCAACGAGCCCTACCGCAAGGTGGACTATATGAAGAACGTGAACCCCAACTGGTCAGTGAACATCAAGGCAGGAGTAGCGCGCTCCCTCTCCTCCCTGAGCTCACTGAAGAGCGAGACAAGGGAGAGCAAAGACTTTATCAAACCCAAACTGGTGACTGTGATCCGCAGCGGGGTGAAGCCCCGGAAAGCTGTGCGGATCCTCCTCAACAAGAAGACTGCCCACTCCTTCGACCAAGTCCTGACAGACATCACTGAAGCCATCAAGCTTGACTCAGGGGTGGTGAAGAGACTGTATACCCTGGATGGCAAACAGGTAAGGTTTTGCTAGTTGTTTTTCTGTGCCAGTGGAAATAAAAAATCTGGTGATTTCTATGTGTTGGTCAGTATAGTGTACTGTATATACTGTATGGTATACTGTAGCATTTTTCATCCCACGGGAAGCACCACTGGAGAACAGAAGCAGCCTGTGTGTTATGTGTCATTTGTGCCAACAGCCCCACTTCTAGCAGATCAGGAGGAGAAAGGACACATTTTATTTCATCGGTTTGAATTTAGAGTGAACGTTATGAAGAGTTGATTCCAAAAGCCTTGAGTAGAAATTAAAGAGGACACCAGAGAGTTCTGAAAGTTAGGGGAGCCCTTACCACCATTCTATACCATTTATTGGGTATTCTGATTGAGAGTGAAAAGTCTCAATAACTGCTTCACTAACAGCACTTGCAGCAATGATCTAATTTTATTTAGTGGTTTCTCGTCCCATCCCAGAGTTGATCAAGTCCAACCTTGCCGAGGTATACGAGGCCTGAAATGATTAGCCTACAATATGGTGATACCGCTTAATAAATGTTGGGAAAACCATTTAATTCTATTCACTCTAAACCATATCAGTGCAAATTTGCAGTCAATGAAAAAGACAGTGATTAAATGCTTTATTCGGAAGAAACAAAAGAGATCTGCATTAATAAACCATATACTGTAATGAAATGTCCTTATTGTGAGTAGAATAAGCTAATGTTCCACTCCACAATGATTTTCCAATCATGAGTAAATCTTTTTCCAAATATATGTATGGAGCCAGCATAGATTTCTTTGGAAGACTAATTGAGAATTTTAGAGGTTTAAGGGAATAGTTCAATTTTAAATAAATATTGTCAAATTTAATGCGGTACTATGCTAGAAAGAGAAACAATAGCAGTGCATTTGTAAGCAGAATTTCAGTTCCTTTCATGTCGATTCAATAGCCAGTTACTGTACATTGCACAAAGTACAACTGACCCTTATTTCCTGTCAGGCTGCAAAGACCTTCTCAGACGGGCCAAAGGAATGACTCATGAAAATAATGAGCTGCAGCCTTTCAGTGTTTTCACCCCAGCAGAGCTTTATTCAGATTGCTGACTATGAGGATTGTAGCTTGTATAGGCATGATGTTCTGGTTGAAGGTAGGACATTTTGTCTGAGCTCTGCAGGTGCTGTAGCCCTAGATGGATGGGCTTTAGCAAATGGAACATTGGCATGAAAGCTCCATTTTTATTTAACATTAACTACACAGCAGGCTGAAGTCCTTGCCAATTTAAGAATAAAAATGTTTTTTTTCCATAATGCATATGCAAGTCAGAACAGTTCATCAAGAAAAAAAATCCATTACAGATAGAAGCTTGATAAAATAAATAGTGGATCAAGTCTATACAGAAAATACTTTCTGGACATTAAAATATACAGTATAAAGTGTGTGAACTCAGTCCTGCTGTGTGACCTTGCAAGACTTAAATTATTGTTCGCAGAGCAAAACATTTGCTTGAATCTGTATGTAGTGCAGTGATCCAGTTATTAGCTTAATCCACCTTTAATATGTTTATGTTTTTGTTTGCAGTACCCATTTTTTACTTTCAATATAGTTAAAATACAGACAGACCTAATCTTAGAAACTGAACTTCTCCATCAAATAGATGCTGCCCATGAGGCGGTATTGTAAAACTAGCTTTTTATCCTGTTTGAATTAAATTTTTCAGTTTATTGTCTAGATCCACAATCCACTGTCTTTAGTCTTTGGTTGGAACGAGGAAATCCATATTTATCCCCATTACAAAGGAAGTCTTTTCTCTTTCAGGTACGTGCAGGGAAACCCTTTATTCTGTATGTTCTTCAATGAGCAACTTGGTTATAGATCTTGAAAAAGAATGCTTTTGAATTAGAATACAAATTGTTGAATACAGAGAAGAGATCAGAGTCCAGCCCATCTTGTGAAACACCGTCATTCAGTGTTGTCAGGAGCTTCCCAGACAGATTTCAGTAGCACTGTGGGGTTGGGCTCATCACTTGGGATGGGCATTTACGATATGGATAATAGTGCAGGATCAATGTAAGTTGAATGCAATGGATGCATTTTTTAATTTCCGAGTCTAGATGAGGCCCTTAATTTGTTATTGAAAACACAGGTACAGAGTATAACACTTGTAGCAGAAATAGTTTTTTAAATATTCCATTTCAAGTTATTTCCCCAAGACTTTTAAGTGTCTTAAGGGGGTTTATATCTTTTCCCCTTTGTTAAATGGTTTTTGTTTTGCTCTCATGCTGCTTTCCTTAGCTCATTCCAATAATTATTTACTGAGATAGACTTTCATTTGTCCATTCTAAATAACTGTGCTTTAGAACTTTTTTTATTTTTTAATGGAAAAAGCTACAGATATGTTGATATTTGTTCAATTAGATTCTAGAATGTGTCATTATACTGTATGCCATTAAGTAGTTTGGTAAAAGCCAGAGTAGAAACATCATTCTAATTAGGTTGATTTATTGATGTAACTCACCAGGCTGGAAGAACAACTTCCTTACCATGATTAACGAGGCTTAAAAAACTGCATTTGATCAGCCATAACATAACAAAACTGAAATATTCCAGTTAGTCATCTAGAAAAAAAAAAGAAGGTTCCTGTTACTCCATTTTACAAATGATGCAAGCATTTTATAAGCAAACAAGTCATTTTATTTCATGTCTGCAAGGAAACAAAAAAGAAAAAAAAAATAGAAAAATGTATATCCAGTAGCAAGGTTTCACAGTATAATGTTCTGAAGAACAAGTAAAGGAACTGACATAAAATCATGATGTCGCCAAATATGTCATGATGTCACTGTAGCTGTGAATCAGTATGAAATGTTAAGGGTATCCCAGCTCTCTTAGTCTCTCTGGAATTCAACTGGTAAGACCTCAAATGGTCAAAATGCACTCTCTTTGCTATTCTATTGTATCTGTATTTCATTTTATGTCTATGAAATACTCTGGATTAATTTTTTGAGCAAAATTGAGCCGTGCATAGAGAACCTAAATCATTTTTGTAATTACAGACTCATACTTGAAGTTATGACCTCAGATTGTTTTTGCAAACTGTTACATTTCATTTAAACAGTACTCACAAAATAAATTTAGTCTGGGGGATGTTATATGTTTTATAAATAATTAGGGCACAAGAATACTTTTGGCAGCTTTGATGGTTATCCATGTGGAAATTAAAAACTGTAGTTTTATAAATGTAATCATTTCTAGGAACTATTTTCTGTCCTCAGGTCACTTTATTAATTTCCAGCCCAAAATAAATCAGTTCTTATAAAGAGAGTCATGAACAAATGGGAGCAAGAAGATTATTACAGTGATAAAATTAGAATGAACTTAATCTCATTTCAATGGTCTGTCTGTCGGTAGTCTGCAGTTAAATGAGTTTTCGATTCATATTGTTTTATTCCCTGATAGATTCTGGTTCATTAAACACTGGACATTAAGCAACATTAGAGCATTAAAATGTAAGCAGTCGTCCCTGAGGACAGGTTACCAAAATGACTGAAATAGAAATGGAGGATTTCTGTATTATACTGTGACTCAGGGAGGATATTAAAACAGCGCAGCAGAGTGCAGCTTAGGTTTTGTGAAGCATATGGTAATCAATAAACGTACCAGTGCTGTTTTTATCCGCGGTTGTAAAAGTTCAGCTGAACTCTGCTGGTTTTTCCTTTGGAAAATAAGACTTAGAGATAATAAGACAAGTAGAAGCTTATGAATATAATGAAGCAGTTTCAAAAACTCAACCAGGCCATTCCCTGTCAAGACCTGAGATTTTGCTTATATATTATGTAGTAACAGGTAGTAATCATGTATGAAAAAAGTTTAAAAATTAAATATCAGTGACAAATGCTGACTGTGCTTATAAATTTCAGTAACATGCAAATGTGTTTCAGTCAATCTTGAAATGTGTGGTTTGTGTTTGTGACTATCCAAAATCTCAGTAGCACTGCAAACGTGGTTGAAAAGATATGCAAGGAAATCTTCTCTAGAGATAATACAAAATGAGTACCTGTGCTTTTATATTGCTGTGTAGCCACACATATGTTGTCACACTTTTGATACCCAGGAGATGCAAGTAGTGCAAAAAGGGAGAACGAGTTCTAACATTTTCTACAAACACATCATGATCTAAAATATTTTAACAAATTAAATTAGCTAAGCATTGCATACTGAAGAAATGGGAGTTTATTTCATTCAGTTCATAGGAATCCCTTCAGAAGAAAACCAAAGAAAACTGTTAGATACTCACTGCCTTCAAATGAACGACTCCATTTATGACTTTATAATGAAATAATCCATTTCATCTAATAACTGAGCTCCAATTAGACCTATAAAGGTTCAAGTTGTACAGTTGCTATTGTAAACTGTACATATATTGACGTCATTATAAAAAGTCAGATTTTATTAAAGGTTTGTTGGCTTTTATGTGTTTATTAAGTTCTTATTAAGTTTCATGTGGAATGTCTGAATGCACGATTCACATTGAGTGCGAAGGAGGATGTCGTTCAGTGAAGTACTGTGGTTTCTACATGCATGATTTCAAAGCAGGTGCAAGTTTGGGACTGTAAAAACAATAAGCTACAGGCATGAAACCTCCCACAGAAATATTACTTGGGCATGTGCTGCAGCTGTCAAGGAGCTAAGATCAGATTTTCTGCATTATTCCCCTCTTGCCCTTTCTCCTGGCTGCTGCTCCCACACTCTAGTTTTTGGCTTTTGCTGTGGTTTCTGCAGCTGGTGATGGCTTCAATCCCCAACTCGTCCCTTCGTGTTTCTAAAGATTCTTGTCAGAAGTCAACCCCCCAAAACAGATGTTCTTCAGAGGTAGCCATTTTTATTTTTGTTTATCTGTTTTAATGGTATACGCTGTTGACATTTATAAAATAATTTTTATAATAATTTCCATAGTTGTGGTTACAACTAAAATACAAAGCAAAACATTTTTAAAAAGATCACTTTAAAAAGAACTTGATCATTTG